CACACAGTTCTCTGACATGCAGGTTTATAAAATTGTAGTTAATATACAGTTTAGAGCATAGCAGTTTTAAAGCTCTGCATGTTCAGACCAACTGAGCTGAAAATTGTGATCTACAGTATTCAAAACTATTAAGATGTGGGCTGAAATAAAATCAGCATAAATTGCTCAACAATATCAATGGAATCAGCATTGCGCTGCTATATATTGTAAAACATTACAGTGAAATCTTGCAAGTATTACATAGCACGCCGCCTTGCCCAAGTGGTAACTAAGCATAACATCTTCCTGTTTCAACATTCTTAACTTTTGTATCCCATAGCCCCTAAAAGTTGTGGGTTTTTTTTTTTTTCCAAACACTGAATACTGCTAAGTTATGAGTTTTAACAGTTTTTTTTCTTTTAAACCACAGCACTGAATGTTATTCTAAAATTGTTTTCCAAATATTTTTAAACTCCCAGTTTATCCCCTGCTGATGTTCATTGTGAAAAGTATTGCAGGTCTAATAATAATAATATTTGGCACTTTTGTAATTCAGCTGTCCAACATGTGCCCTCCTCTGGTGAATTTTTAGAGGATAACTGTATAGCTACCAGCTAAGGGAGTTGTATCTTGAACTCAAGTAGTAGAAGCTCATGCTTTTAAGTCTGGATGGCTCAGGTTCAATCTTTGGTGACTAGCTATGATGGAGGTTGCTACACTTATAATCCCCTTAAGCAGAGGTTCTGAATATGCTTTGTTATAGGCAGAGCTAGCCTATAGTTAAGCAACCGAAAATTTGGAATGGGAAGTGTTGAAATGTTGGGAAGCCTTATAATTTTGCCAGTCTGGAACGAACATCCCATCTGAGGGATGGGGGCGGGGAGAGAGGAGAGTGAGACAGGACCAGGAAACTGGGACAAGGAATCCAGAGTGGTAGTGGGGGGCATTTGAAATCAGATGAGGAGCTGGGGCGGTTTAGACAGCAATAGGATAGACATAGACTGGAGGGGATGGGGAAGAAGGGTCTTTGACTACTAGAGACCACTCCATTCAAGAGCCTGGGATAGACCCAGGATTCCTGAGTTTCACAGTTCCTCTTCTGTCAGCAGATATCTGTGAAACCCAGTGGCAAAAATAAGTGTCTTATCCCCCTATAGAGCTGATCTATCACGTATGACAACCTACTGCCTTTGCCATCACTTACTCCATTAGCTCAAATGGCAGAAGTCTGTGCAGTGGATCTAAAGGTTCATCGGCAGGGTTGGAGCCATGTGAGTTTCACAGTGATTCCACATGCCAGAATTTCTGGGGCAGTTCAGTTTTGATTTTTACAAAAAAACCTGGGGAAATGCATACAGAAATAGGGTGACCAGATGCCTAAATATGGGAATCTCAAGCAGGAGTAGAGAGGTTATTTTATCTCTGTATTTGGCATTGGTGCAACCACTGCTGGAATACTGTGTCCAGTTCTGGTGTGCACAATTTAAGAAGGATATTGATAAATTGGAGAGTGTTCAGAGAAGAGTCACAAGACTGATTTAAAGGATTATAAAACATGCCTTATAGTGATCGACTCAAGGACCTCAATCTATTTAGCTTAACAAAAAGAAGGTTAAGAAGTTACTTGGTTATAGACTGTAAGTATCTACATGGGGAACAAATAGTTAATAATGGGCACTTCAGTCTAGCAGAGAAAGGTAGAGCATGAGCCAACGGTTGGAAGTTGCAGCTAGACAAATTCAGACTGGATATAAGGCATACCTTTTCAATGGTAAGAGTAATTAACGATTAACAATATACTAAGGGTTATGGTGTTTTTCTAAAAGCTTTTTCTAAAAGCTATCCTCTAGGAATTATTTTGGGAAAGTTCTATGTCTGTGCTATATAGGCGGTGAGACCAGGTGATCACAGGATCTCTTCTGGCTTTATAATCTCAGAACTAGGTACATCAATTCACATGCAAAATTCTCATTGAATTCAGTAGGTGTCCTTGCCCTGTGCCTTGTGGTGCGGGCTGCAGCAGGGGCCGTTTCAACCCCTCTCGCAGCTTCCTAGGGCCCCCTCTCATGGCTCTGTGCACCTGTGTCTGTCATTGTCGTCCTCTCCCCTCCCCGCTCACCCAATGTGTCCTGATATTTCACTCTTGCGATCTGGTCACCCTAACACCATCAACCCAGTTCTGCTCCTTGTTACTTGTGTATTTGCTATCAATAAAATTACACTGGATTGTATATGTAAATATATGTAATGAGTATGATTTAAATAAGGACATGACAGACAATTCTTTATAAAACTACTCACAGACAGCTCAATTCTGCAAGTTGCTAAGCATCATCAAATCCTTTTCAAATTAGGAAAATAAGGGTAAATCGGCATTTTGCCCTTACTTTAAATGGAATGTTACTATACAGCTCTGGTGGGTTTTGTTTTGTTTTGATACCATGAGAGGGGAAAAAAGGCAGTGAAACCACCTTGTGAACAAACTATGGTTTCAATCATCTCCAACATGTTTGTAAAGATGTGAGAATGCAAAAATATTTGAATCTTTTAAAAAAATTGGTTTTGGGTGGGTAAGGGACCATTTACTCTCAAACGTATACCAAATTAATGAGATATTAGACTCAGTATATAAAACTCTTTAAAATAGCTCAATACAACTGTAACTACAGTGAGTATGATTGTAGCAAGATACACTTATCATAAGGACTTCAAAAAATACAAAATCATTACTTTTATACTTTAAATTCAATGTATGTTCAGAACTTCAGTGGCAGACAACTCTGCAATTGGGTAGCTTTGGGAACCGTTGATCAGGAAAAGCTACTGAGAAATGAAGGGTCCTTTCAAATAATATATTTGGCTAAATATGTATTTCCCTGTATTATCTTTTCATTTTGTTTGGTGACACTGGTGATTTTAGGCTACCTATGGTACTGGAGAGCTGATCTGGATGTATAAAGTAGAAGAAAAGAGCCAAGTTACCTTTCATTTTTAAAGATTGATGTTATCCATTTTTTCATCAGGTGTTTCCTGTAATCGGCTTGGGCAGCATTCATGCCTGCGTTGTAAGGTAAAAATATAGATACTTTAAGTAACTATAATTGTAACTCCTTCTCCTTACATGTCCTTCTGGTATCAAGTCTTGTCACATCTCCCTTCACAATATATAGAAAACTCATACCTTCTGTATGAGGTAAGGGTCATTACTTTTAATGTCCCTTTTGTCCAGCACTTTTAAGTTTTTAATTTCTCATTCTTGCTTTCGAGGGCTGCATCTCTCATCTCATTTGGCGTTATTTCCCTCTACCCCCACAAACACCACCCCACTCTCCCCCTGCATCCTTCAGTTCTGTTAGCCTAGCCAGGCTCTTCTCAGTTGTTTCCTGCTCCCATTTTCATACAGTCTTCAATGCTGTTTCCTCTGCACTGAGCGTATGATTCTCCCATTCCAGTATCCCAGGCCTCCACCTTTTCCTCCTTTGGATCATTCCTAAAGTCTTACATCAAATCAAATGTACTGTCCACCCCAACATTTTTCATTAGGGGGGCAATTTAAATAAATAAAAAAATCAATCTAATTAACCCCATTCTCTCAGTCTCCTATTCTTACTGTGTGCGCCTCAGAGTTCAGAGCAGGAACTGTCTTTATTGAAGTGTCCTGGACAGGGTTGAGCACACTGTTGGTGCTTAATTAGTACTAATTCACATTGGTGTCTTCTTTTAGTTACAAACTGACTGACTGTGTGGCAGGGAGAGGTTCCATTTAGCAGGACAATGAACACACTGCCCTGCAAGACAGACATTTGAAGTTTAGTTTTGTTTTCTTTTAACTTGTTGGACTAACCCAATACCTATATGGCTGAGGTCTATCAGACAGTGCTCCCAGTGACTGAGGCCAGCCTCCTGGCTGACAACTTCCAAGACAGGGCACTCCTTGAGGATCCTGTTTCCTCGGCCACCATCCTCTTTTCCCAGTTCCAGCATCCTCCTGGCTTCCCTTCCCTAGAAGGCAGTGGAACCTTGTCCAGCACAGAAGCAATTAGTGGATAGATTGTACACGAATTCCAGTCCCACTATAGAAAGAACTAGTTAAATTTTAATCTCAGCCAGATTACCCTGGTGCTGTTAGAAATTTAACTTTTTTTTTTTGCCTGCTGCTTGCTGAAGAGCATTATGTTATGACAAAACTTTTATCCTTTTCATTATCCCCTTCAGGCTTGTTTCTGTGATGATCACACCCGAAGCAAGGTTTTTAAGCAAGAAAAGGGAAAAGAGCCTCCTTGCCCTAAATGTGGGCATGAAACTCAGGAGACAAAGGATCTGAGCATGTCAAGTAAGGACTGTCCTTGAAATGCTAATGGAACAAATGCTGAGTCTCTAATTTAGCGAGTCAATTTACTAGGAGTCTTATTTTCTGTGTTGGAAAACTTAATATGTTCATCTTTTTCAACTGGCAGCATGTGATGCCATTGGTGGCTGTGTAGGGATGTATGGGAATACTGAAGTTCTTGAATGCTTTGGAATGTTTTGGGGAGTTTGTCGCATTTATATTGAGAGTACTTTGAGTTGTTGCTGACTCTGAGCTGCAGCATCTCTTCGTTAGGATTGCTATTTGTGCCCTGGAGATTGACAAGGTTATGAATTTGAGTGCTACTTTCAAGTTGTGGTCTAAGGAAGAAGTGCCCATGATCACTGTTTACTTCTGCTCTGTCGCTTCTTATTTCACCATCAAGAAAGAGCATGCTGAAATTCATTAGAAGATACCCACATGAGTCTGCTTACTCAGCACTGCTTATCCATAAAAAACACACATTATCTTAGGTGCTATATATCTATATATAAAATACCTATTTATTACAGTACCAGAAGTGTGCTCTACAGCCAAAGTTCTGGTCCTGAAGAGTTTATGATCTAAATACAATAATGTACCAGATATTTTATGTATGAATATCTCTGGAGAGAAGATATTTTGGATGGGGAACAGCAGAAAAAGGGTCTGTCATAGTTAGGTGCTCTGACTTTAAGGATCAAACCTGAAAACAACCAGTTAAAGTCTCTCAAGAGACTGATCATTGTAGTCCTGGACTGTTTGCTGACAGTGTACTCTTGAGTAGGTGGTGAAGATGGATGGTAGATGGAGAAATGTCAAATGCTCCATTGATGAGTGGGTGTCTTATGATTGAGGCTGAAGAATAAGAATTTAACTATTTTTTCTATTCACAGTACGCTCTCTGAAGTTTGGCCGGCAGACAGGCAGTGAAGAGGCAGATGGAGCTTCTGGCTATGATGCCTACTGGAAGAACCTCTCATCGGGTAAGGATGGAGATGCAGGTGACCATGACGACGAATATGAAGAGGATGAAGCAGAGGATGATGATGAGGAGGGAGGGAAGGATTCTGAAACAGAGACCACAGATTTATTCAGTAACTTGAATTTAGGAAGGACCTATGCTAGTGGCTATGCCCACTATGAAGAAGCGGAAGACTAAGATTACATAGTGGGGAGCTCTATAGCATTTGGAAGGAATAAGTATAGGAGTGCTTTATGCGTGCCACTAGAATAGCTCTGCCAGGCACTTAAGCTTCAAAGTGTATTAGGGAAAAAGGGCATGGAACTTCTGTAGAAACTCAAGTGTATGTGTGTGGAGGAAAACAGATAAATGTTCATATTCATGCAAGTAACCAAAGTGGTTTTGATCTCATGATTACTGAGTGTAATAGCTTAATGTCTTCTCCCCCCACCAAGTTGGGAGTGTAGGAGGGTAAAGGGATTTGTTTCCATCTGTTCATCAGAAATTAAGTTATTTTTCTTGAGTAATTTTGACTGTAATTCTGTAATCTGATTTCATAAATTATATGTAGTGGTGTAAGTGGGTGGCTGTATTCATTTTTGGCTTACAAAATAAAGGTCAGCAGCATTCTGTAGTGAGTTTTCATAAATATTGATCTGGACTGAGTACTAGGAAAGCACTTACTGCAGGCCTATCATGAGCCAAATATAAACTGAAATTAAAATAACTACCATTTCATGTAGGCGAGGCAGATCAATACATTTCCTCATAACATAATCATTCCATGCCTTTTGAACATTATACATTAATCATAGACATTATGTACAGTCACCTACGGTGTCACCTACATACATAAGATCAGAAGGTTTATTTATCACAATAAAAATGTTAATGTATCCTTCCTACCCAATAAAAGCATCATTTTCTTTTAGTATAGTATCATTGTTTGCAAAGAGGGGTCAAAAGGGTGGTAACTAGTCTATTCTACCCCTTCACCTGCATTGCAGCAGGAAGAAATCAAAGATTCAATAAGAATCAAACCTAGGATTTTTGTTAAAATAAGATAATAGGATGTTTGTGTTCTGTTGGAATAGCACCCTGTTCCTTGTTAGGTACAAGACTGTCACAACCACAGAAGTGATGCATGCTTTGGAGTGTCTTGCTGACACTAATGACTTTATAATCAAAATATTAGGAATTATTTGCTGCTTTTTATGAAAGTCATGTGATTCTTCCAAGAAACAGTTCCAATTTAAATTGTTTAAAGTAAAAAATTGGAACTGGAACTTAGTGTAACTACAGCTAAATCTTTTTTCCTTCCACTTTCTTCCACTAATACTTCCCATACAGCAGCAACATGTGTGTGCGCACACAGACACATACTTTCTGCTTTGCATGCTATGTGCATCTTCCCCAGCTTTTAATAAATTGCCTTCTTCCTCTCATCACTATTCAGGTTGACCATATTGTGCCACCTTGCAGCAGAGCCAGGTGCTTTGATGTATTCAGTTGAAGTGTCATGACACTTCAAATGGAGCTAATGTATTAAAAAGAGAAGCACTGGAGATTTTCTGTGTGATGCATTTGCAATTCAGCTGAATAATTCCTGCTTGAAAGACCAGAGAAACTGGAGGTGGGAATGTGGCCCTATGCAAGTCACTTAGTTTCTCTGGCAGTGCCTAAATACCTTTGAAGATCTAGGGCTCAGTTCCCCCAATCTGTACAAAGGGGGTAATAGTGTTTCCTCACCTCCAAAAGTGTGGTGTAAGGATAAGTGTGAGACATTCACATTCTACTGTGATGGTGGTCCATATAAATGGATGAACAGACCTTTGATATTGTTCCTATTACTAATTATTAAATTGTGAAATTAGCAATAGCAGTGTAGACTCCAGTTCAGCCCTTGCTTAACTGTTAGGCCCAGCTATTTCCACTGGTGAATCGGTCTTCCCTTGGTGATTCTACGGACAAACGCTGACTAGTTGCAGATCTTGACTGATACCTCATATGTAAAATAATTAAGTGCTAGGACAAAGTCTTGGGAGTGCTGAAAGGATGTGTGATTTCTTTCAGTTCTGTTTAATACTGCAATTATGTGTGTCATCTGCAAATGTTACTTTTTTATTATTATTTACTGGAATTAAATTCTGTTAATGTGCTTGGCTCCGGGAGCCATATTTTCCTGTTGTGAAATCTGTTGCTGTCAATGGCTATGCCAGGGCTGCTGACGTCAAAGCATTAATCATCATCACCAAAGTAAAGAATTATTCATGTTCTCATTGAAATGTCCTTGCAATGGTAATCTCTTTGCAAGATAAATCCTTCTCAGCTAATTCATGTTCCTGTCTATGCCATCACACTCTATAGTAAGATAATGCCACAACATCGGGATGTACTGCACACAGCAGCTAGTAAGGACACCAAAACAAATTTACCAAGGCTCCTGATAAAGGGGTGTAGCAGAGCACGTGCACTCATGGTTCTACCACTGACTTCTGGTATGTCCGGGGGGAGGTTACTGTCTGCCTCTATGGCTTGGTTTCCACAAATATAAAACAGAGACACTACTTACCTACCTACCTCCAAAAGATGTTGTGAGGTTAAGAGGCTAGACAAGTTCAAAGTGCTGCTATTTGGAGTGGCTCAACCTAATCAGTTTCTAGTCAGAGAGCAGGGGACACGTCATTTCTCTCCTTAATGCCAAGTGACAATGTAATGGGTCGAGAAGTGCCTCTGGGATAATGAGTGAAGCCTGTAAGTTTTGGAAAGAGTAACAGTTAGAAAACAGATGGATTCTCTTTATAAATGCCTCAGTGTGCGCTGCTGTTTGTTCATTTTAAAAATCCCTGCCCTTGATCAAGGACAATGCCAGGCTCAAGCGAAACCAGGATAATTTCTGATGTGAAATTGGGGACCCTTGACAGTTATGAGTAACACTTCATAAACTTAGAACACTTTATGCTTTAACTGCTTTCATTCATGACCATTTAGTGAAAGGTCTATGTGGGGTTTGAAACAATTGCAGTAAAGATACTTGAGTTTTCAGGTCCTCAAATTACACCTTTGTGGTAATAGCACCTACTTGTGATGAGTTCATTCAGTGCTCCTGTGGACATAATACACTGGAATACAAATGAAAGTGGAATTTAGCACCAGGGACAAAATCATTTGATCAATCCCAGGGCAGAGCTGTTGTTTTTACTTCAGGCAAATTAATGTGAAGATCATTCTAATGTACTAACCAGTTTCAATTGTCCATTGATTGACAATAACATTAGTGTCAGAGAGAGAGAGAGCACAAGCTCAGCCCACCTTCCCCCCCCTGGAATCCACTTTATGATAAAGATTGCAGAGGCCTCCACCCAAAGCTGAAGCTAGGGGGCAGGATTTCCTAGAAGATGAGTTTTCATTGATCACAGACAAATGGGTCAGGAAAATAGTGAGCCACAGATACTCCCTGGAGCTGAGGGCTCTACCCCGTCCAGTCGCCCTGTCCAACAACCCAGTAAAACAATCTGATCCAGAACGAAATATCCTCTGAATACAAGAATGATAGAGAGCTTTTCCTCAGAAGAAAGGTTCTCTGGGTTCTACTCTTTCTTCCATCATTTACTAAGTGCACCAGGCAGTATTCAAGCCATTCTCGACGTCACAAGGCTTAACAAGTGGATGAAGAAAACAAAGTTTTGGATGGAGACCCTGGCCTCTAACGTGTCATCCCTGTCCTGGGGGAAACTTCTTGACTTCATTAGATGTAGTAGATGCATTTCTCCATATTCCCACTGCAGACATCAGTATTGATGTTTCCTCCCATAGGTGAACCTCAGAACACTCCTGTTCAGCCTGTCCTCGACCCCCAGGGTTTTTATAAAGATGGTGGTGGTGATGGTAATTGCCAGACTCAAGTCACAGGACTCTCACCACAAGGAGAAGTTAGAGAGACAGGATGAGATTTTCATTTAGACAGAAGATGACAGGTCAGGAGTGGTGGAGAGGTAAATTTGTGATTTCTCAGAGTCCTAGAGGATTCCCACAGAAAGTGTAGATGGGGAAGGGGAAGAAGAGGATTTTCTGAATAGCATGTTGAAGGAATGATTAGAGAGGAAAGAAGAGAGCGGTCATGAAAGTTGAGGAAGAAGAATTTCAGTAGAAGAGCAGGGTAGACAGCAGTGATAGCAGCTAACAGGTTAAGGAGAATAACGATGGAAAAACAGTTCTGAGCTTTGGTCAGGAAGAGATGATTAGAGACTTCGATGAGAACCATTTCTTTGAAATGCAAGCAGTAAATGCTGGATTGGAGAGTGTCGTGTATGGAACTGGAGGAGAGGAACTGCAGAAAGTGATTGCAAATAGCACATTCAATGAACTTAGAGATGAAGTGGGGAAGGAAGATGGCACAAAAGGTGTGTGGTTTTTTTTGTTTTTTTTTAAAAGATGGGACAGACTAAATTATGTTTGTGTTATGAGGGGAAGGAGCCTGAAGAGAGAGATGGTGCAAAGGGAGATCAGGAGAGAAATGGGAAAGGGTCATGGGAGCATGTGGAGTTGTTGGAGGAAGGCAGAAGAGAAACTTCTGCATCAGTGATGGAAGAGTAGAAGAGAGTGAACGGAAGGTGGGGTGGGGGAGGTCATACTGGACCTTGTCAATATTTTCTTTGAAAAATGTCAGTAAGATCCTGCTAGAGAAGGCAGTGGAGTCGGGGGGAGGGCTTGAGGAGGGAATCAAAGGTGGCCAATAGGCATGTGATGGCAGGCATGACAGTCAATCAAGATGAAGAAGTAAAACTGTTTAGCTCAGAAAATGGCAGAGTTCAAGCAGGAGAGAACAAATTTGTAGTGGATGAAATCAGCCAGGTTGCAGATCATCAGCTGGGCTTGCTCCATGGCAGAGAAGAGGATACTGGGGCTGAGCTACAGTTGGGGGCTAGCAGGGTAGATCTTATGAAGGGAGAGAAGGACAAAAGTCAAAGTGGAGAAGAATATAGAATGGAGAGAATCAACAACTAATAAATGGAAGAGAGGAGAGGTTGAGAGCAAAAGAGACGTTATCAACATTGATGGACTGCAAGTTATAGAAAGGCCAGATGGCAGGTCAAGAGGGTGGGGCAGACGATGTTCAGGGAGTGGGAACTCAGCGGGGGCAAGATCAAAGGGAGAAAGTGGTACTCAGTCAAGACCAAGGGTGCAAATCAAAGGAGGACATGAAGGCAAGGAGCGGGACAGCTAAAAATCTCCAAAGCTGCTCAACACAGAGAATGCTAAGGTACAGCAGGTCAATGGGTGTTGCTGAGAAAGAAGTTGGTTGCTTAACATGACTATACAACTCAATATTAAAGATATAATTGAATAAGGGTCTGAATGAGTTCTCTCCTGCCATCTATTGTTGAACGGGGAAAGACCTCAGGAGCAGACTGCTTGCATAGACACATCTACTTTGCCAAAGTGATCAATGCTGGCTGTTTTGGGTTTAAAATTCACTTTAGTCTTGGATGTAGGGATCATGAAGTGTTGTCCTTCTTGTATGACTAAAGGGCAGCAGAACTAAACTTAAAATGCCTGAAATTGATGGGTCTCCCTAACATCACTCACTAAGCATGGGGCAATGAAGTAAATCAAGTGAAAGTCAGAGGTGGTGGGAACAGGTGTTTCTACCTGGTGGAGAGGACTCCGTTTAAGGGTCCTACATGCCATTTGACCCTTCCCCTCCAGTGCTTAAAGCTAGAGCTAGTTAGACTCAGTTGAGTCTATGTCTCTTCTCAGTGACCTCGAGAGCTGAAATCACCGATAAGCTGGTTATGGGAGCTAAGCCTTAGACCTGGTGTGGAGAAAGTGTTCCGGTGAGGCAAAACACAGAGGAGACAGTGGCAGTGAGGTTCTATGCTATCTGCTGGCATCACTGTATCTGATGTCACTAAGAACTGGGCTAGGTAA